TGGAGTAGGAATAATATGGGTAATAAAAACTTTGCCTTTAAATGCACTTAGAATCAGTCACTCTAGAACACCTGGGAAGAAAAATTGGACTTTTTATAAAGTACAGCTGCACCTGGGCTGCTTTGGTGTCAGCTGGTCTGATTCCTAGATAATACAAATGGCATCTTGGAAATGCATTTCCTGGGTCTGTGGAAAGGAGGGTGAAAAGCAGGCAGACAGCAGCAGGAGTCCACCAGAAACCATAAGCCTCCTGACTTCTGCTGGAAAGCATCCGATCTGGCTGCCCCATCACAGCAAGGATTGCCTGACCTGGTTTGCCTCTCAAAGGGCCAAGGCTAAACGGCAGAAGTAGTACAATTTTCTCTTGATGATGGAAGTTTAGCTATGGAGGCAGCTAAAGGAAGGGGAGGGCGGGAAACCACTTCTAATATGGACAGAAACAGTTGTCCTTCCTTTCTGCATTGGTAAGCAGCTTTGCCATCCAGGGTGGGAGGAGGAGGTGGTGTCAGACATGGGTAAACCCTGCAAGTTCCGAAAGGGAAGGCAACAGCCAGCAAGACTGACTAAGCCCATGCGTGTCATGCAAGGTGCTGTGTCTGAGAGGGATGCGCCAAGACCCTGCTGCAGCCTCTTGGGGGCTGCGCTGTGGAAGGAAGAGGATCCCCTGCCCGCATCCCCTGGCTGCAGCATGGCTGCGGCAGTGATGGGAGAGCCCCGGGATGCTGGGCTGGGGTGAGGTGAGGTGTATGCCAGCTGGGGAGAAGGGCAGTAGAGCCCCAGAGGGGGCGGCCAGCTCTCTCCTCAGTCACGGGCAGTGTAGGGTGCAGACAGGGAGCTGCCAGAGCCTCACCACTAGCTGATAGTGGTGCACTCTGGTCATCCGCCCAGTTGCTCTTCTTCATCTTGGTCATTATTACTTCAGTATCTCCTGCCTCTGACCATCATCCCCTCAGCTGTCCTGTCATTTCCCGACTGCCAAGTGCTTCTTCCTTTTGCTGTGCTTTTTTTCCTTCCCAGAGCCACCCACCCCAGCACGCTGACCCACAACAGCATCTCTTGTTCCTGCCTCCCTTCCCTGTCCCTCAGACTCTTCCACATCAACTCCCACAAGGCCATGGTCACCTCCCTATATGGTTTACTCCCTTCCTTTTGCCCCACGGAGAGGCGGGGGAGGAACTGTGGCCCAGCCCTCACCCTATCCCTCCAGTTGCTGGCCTAACAGGGAGGATGCAGTACTGCAGGTTGTGTTCCAGTGGTACCTCTCCTACACCCCCACACAGCTGCTTTTACCTGCCCCCCTGTCTGCTTTTACCACTACAGCCTATGTGTCTATCCTTGTGCTGTATTAGGTGTTCTTGCAGAAGGCAACAGCCACTGCTGTGTTAAAAGGACACGTGGCAGAAGCACAAGCTAGAAGCTGCACAGTTCCCATTTCCCCCCTGCCCCCCCCCAAAAACCTTTGAGCACAGTGCAGTGCACATAAATATCTACAAATAAATCTTTGTGCACACAGGCCTATCTCAAAATCCTCTGTGCAACAAAGCAGAGCCCAGACTGGCTTCAGGGACTGCAGGGTGGCCAGGGAGGATAATGTCACTCAGCCCTTCAGCACAGGACAACAGCACAGTGTAGGGGAGTTTGCACCAGCACTAGGCACACATATGTAGTGGTTTTTTCCTCAGGACCTAAAAGAGTAAAAGGGCCTCAAAACAGCAAGGCATCCAACTTCTTATTTGGCAAAGCAGGCAGATCCAGAAGTGAAGGTCAGGTATGTCAGGGAAGAAGGAAGATGATTAAGAAGTGATGTAACTGGACAAGTCTTCATATACCAAATGTATTCACTGCTTTCCTGTTTCAGGTCATCTGAGTCCCAAGAGACAGTGGAGCATCTCTGTCTCCTGGGTCTTCTGGCTGGTAACAGAGAATTCCCTTTACTCCTTCCCAACAGACAAGCATCTCAAAATGTGCATAGATCTAGATGTTTGGTTTCTGGACCAAGCTACAATGTCCACAAGCTACCTGGGTACACAACTCCACCCCAAGAAGGAAGGTCTTACCTCAGGAAGGGTTTGTAAGGGCAGGGGAAGAGGAAAAAAAAATCCCCAAATGGAGCCACCCCTCACCCCCTAAACATCCCAGGGAATTGATGGAAGGTGGTCACAACAACTGCAAGTAAAAATCTGAGGCAGATGGAAGTTAAGATGCATTTTTCATTGCTCATCACAGCACCTCATGTCTGTCTTTGGCACAGACCTGAACAGACCCCTAATTAAAGCAGATTAAAAGTTACAAACAGAACTAGTGCAATTTCAAGCAAGTTTTCCAGGGACAGTCTAGCTGGACTTGTTCCCCAACACCTTCAAAGAAGTCTACATATCCCTTCAGCTGCTACAAAACAGTGGCAATGAATACATGCCCTGCTGCCTGCCCCCTGCCCCAAATGGCTCTTTGGCAGGTCCTCACTAGCTGAAGACTGACTCCAGGGGGAAAGCTGGCACACTCTGTGCAGTACAAGATGAGGGAGCCTCGGGTGCACCATCGGCAATAGGGGGGATGCCCTGTGCCAGAACAGCACACAGGCACAACACCCAGCACCTGCCCCAGCCCAGCACACCACAGGAGCCCACATCCAGCATCAGAACCTCTGCAAGGGCTCCCACCAGCTGCACCACGAGTTCACCAACACCCACTGGTGTCTGACACAGCTTTTACTCCGCTCCCAAGAATCTGGCAAGTACTCAGGCTCCCTTTTCTGAAAGGGTGGTGTTTGTGGTGGTGTGTGGCTCCAGGGGCTGGTTTGGTGACAGTTTTTGTCCCCCCACAGGGACAAGGCAATAACACCCTGCAGGATTCTCCTGCAAACTTCCCAATGGCTATTTTCACTGTAGCCCAGAGCAACTTGAAAATAAAAACAAATGGTGTGAAAATACCCCAAAAATAGTGTCCTGACAAAGCTTACTCTGTGAAGGAAAAACACTTCCCTGAAAACAGGAACTAGCAGACTACTAGAATAAACACCTTCCTGGTAGCCATTTCATATTATTTCTAAACCTTAAAAACCCCCAAACAACTGAAGATTGGTAAGTGTTAATGTGGTACCCAAGAATACCTTTGAATCCAAGTCAGCATGTATTCAGTCTCTAAATAAACATGCATAATACTGGTTTGCATTCTCTTCAAAGCAAGTGGAGTGGAGTGTGGAAGTCATGCAAGGGTCCTCTAGAGACCAGCCATAGACCAATTCAAAGTAGCACACTGAAGAGAGCTATTTTAAATGTATCTTGTTCTAGGGAAACTTGAATTCACCTACCTGTGAGTTTAGGATTACATACTTCATCAACTGCCAAAGCATGGGGTTTTACAACAGGTTTATGTAAATCACCCAGGATTTCTGCATGAACTGCTTTTATATACAGTTGGAATTAAGACAAAATTAAAGACAACTTGCAGAAATCTCTGGAATGAAACTGTCTGGATAATACATCAAAACCAAAGAAAATAAACTGAACAACAGTCTTGAAAATGCTTTATTGAACCGTGTGTCTTACTGTAATGTGCAGAAGATGTGTTTGAAAAGACTACAGCTTGAAAATTTTTTGAAAATCCTCAACAATCAATAAAAAAAGTCCCTACTGGGGGTAACTCTCAGGATAACCAGAGGCCTCATGTAAAGTTTCCCTTGAAACATTTTCTGTTGCAGAGACTAAAAGAAAACAAAACTAGTACTGCTCTATGTGGAAACAATCAGGATTTGAGGATTAAAAAAAAAAGGAATGGAAAATGGAACTTAAACTTCAGTCTGTGGGGTTGCTTCTTTTTGCTGCTGTTATTTTGGATTAGCATACATGTCACAGTTCTGCTGAGAACACCATCTGGTGTTCAAGTCTGTAAATTTACTCTAAAACGCTAGCAATGCTGCAGAGATGGAAGCATACAGAGAAAGAAGGGGGGGGGAGGTGAGAAAGATCTGGAGAGACACCATTATGATATAAGCCTAGTTTAAATTTTCATCAGAAGCTGTCTGCACTTTTGGTTTTATAATCTAACTTTACATTAAAAAAAACAAAACCCAGAACAAAAAAAAAAAAAAGAGGGAAGAAAACCAATCCCAAACATACCCCTTCTGTCCTTGTCTTGGGGCTACTGTAAACTTCTATGCACAAGAACACCATACTCTCTTTTTTTCCAAACCAGTAGGGTTAACAGTATAGGCATGTAGGTGGCATGATTTAACTAAAAGGCTTTTTTCAACTTTTTTTTATACCAGCAAAAATAACCAAAAGAAACAATAAATAAAAGGTGCTAAAGTTAGCATTAAGAATTCAATTGTAATATACTGACAATCTGGGAATCCAAATCCTCAAGCTCTCCTGACACCAACAGGTCTCTGCAAACTATGAAGCAAATACATAAATAACTCAAAATATGACTGAGACTGTGAAAGGCTTTTTAAACTAAGACAACATGATCCAGGTTAACTTTTTTTTAAACACAGTGAATATATGAATTCTCTACACCTGAATAAAACATATTTAACAATTAAAAAATTAACAACCACAAAAAGGAAAAACTTTAAACAAAAGTGAACATCATTTGATTTTAGGGCACACAAAAGCCCCTTGCAGTAGCTTCCAGCAGTGGCCTTACTGTTGTGTCTCCTACAGATGCATAAAATGAAGTTCAACTCCACATTGAGGTGATGGCTAACAGGGCAACAAAATGGTCACATACAGCAAAATGCCACACCCTGGTCACAACAATATATCCCACTGCAGAGTTTCCATCCTGTGTGGGAACAGCACATAAAGATGTCATTCTGTCACATTTTATTCAAAAGCTACTTTGTGGCCACAAACTGCTAGTCAGCACTAACCTTTTTGTCACGTAACCTTTGAATTATGGGAAAGCTTTGGGTTTTATAGTTTTACTCCTTGTATTTAAATTTTTAAATGACAAGGTCACTAAAACTCATGCACGCTGCAAAAAACGTCATGCAGTAGTTAAGGTAAACCATCCAAGCAGTTTTTATTCATTAATATTCATAAATACACACAGCAGCTTCATTAGAGATTTTTCTTTGTTTTTCCTCTTCAGTTTGAATGTGGAGTATTAGGAGAGCCTTTTGCATGTCAAGGTACAGGACACAGAGCTTTTTGCTCTGCACTGCAACCTACATTTACCTGCTAGAAGTAAAAATTAGTTAAGTGGAAATGATTATCATATATATCTTTTCTCTCTTTCTTTTGAATGTACACAATGTAACAAGAGTGACAGACCTGAAATTACAATCACCAAAACAAACCCAAGATAGTTGTTGTCCACTTTCATTGGCAAATACAGCACAGAGGACACTGTCTGCAAAGTGGGATGTCATCAAAGAGGAGGTGGAGGAGGCTCGTTTCCTTTATTACTCTCTTTCAAATTTAGGTTTTCTAAAGCAACATCTAGAGGCATAATATCTACACAGCCCATAGCACCAAAATCTGCAATCTCCCCCCGCTCATCCTCATCTGAGGAGGAACTTTCTTCCCGCATCAAAGTGGACAGTAGAAGCTCCTGAACAAACAGGCTGCAGTCTGCCCGTTCGCTTTCCATTGACTGACGCTCTGCTTCCGACATCTTCGGATCATTCAACCTGCACAGCAGCAAGGGAAGAGAAGACAGGCAGTTGGTCAAGCCTCATTTCACTGACAACACCTCTGACAGGCACTGAAAGGCACTCGAAAACCACTCCTTCAGTGTAGTTCTGCTTGCCCTTCGACTCATACAGCTCTGGCAACCTCCAACACCTCAGTACAACAGGCATGCATTTAACAAAACCACCCTTTCCCTGTTGCTACAACAGCATTCCAAGTGTCACCTCAAGGTAGAGGAAAATAAAAAACTATTTGTGAGGTTTTCTGGTATTCAGGAGTCTTTTTAGGGAGGGCTGTTGATTTCCTAGACTCTAGTTATGTGGCTTTTTTGTTCCTAGGTCAACTTCTAAATTCACATATGCCACAAGCCCCATTACTGCATGTGTAAAACCTAGGGATTCCCAAAGCACTATACAATGCTCATTCCACCACTTCTCCTAAGTTATAGTGCATGCCCTCATAGGCTAGGAAATTACTCACTCCAACTCTGAGAGTTGCAATCTGTGGCACTTGAAGGTACTTCAATAAAGTTTCTCAAATAATAATGAGTTTGAAAGATGCTACATGGTATTATTTTGCACTTGGATAAAAATCAGATTGACTCTAATCCAGGTTTCCTGACACGTAAGCTGTTAAAAGGCCCACGCTCTTTCACAATACCAAACAGACAAACAAGAGTATGTATGGGGGGTGTGGCAGAGGAGATGTGGACAACATTTTTATTTCACATCAATAGGCAACCTTCTAAAAGAACTGGAATGACATAGTGGGTGACTCCTCTTTAAAATAACCCTGGGATCTAAGTATAATTTCTACACCAGGTAAGTATTCTGTAAAAAGACATCCTCTATTTGTTTTGTTATCCAGTCTCAGAAATAACTGTATAAGCACCCCTATTCAACCTTCACCTGTTACTAATTTCCTGTTAAACAATACTATCTTTTGACTCACTCCCTCTCCATTACAGCTCAAGTCTATATGCTTGTATCACTGGAAATGCACTTGTTTTGTTGGAAGTAGTAGGGGAAACAAGCACAATTTCGTTAAGAAATACTCCTTTTGTTCCTCTTGAAGTTGAGGTGCAGCAAATAATGTTTACCCATGGCTTACAGGAGCAGACAGGCAGCAGGTTTGAGAAGATGTTACAAATGCAAACAAAAGCACAGTATGCTGGCTATAAACTTGAAGGATCTGGCAGAAGTCCCCTGCCTGGAGTCACAATTAACTTATTCAGCCAAAACTCAAACCCAGCCTCTTTTTCAAGGTTTGCAGAAATCCGTACTCAAGTCCTTTGAACACTTTCCTAGGTGCAGCAAAAAAAGCACAGTGCACTTGTGACATTGCTTCTCCTTTTTGCAAACACTAGACAACCACAGGATTGTTTCTGCAGTCAGCTCCTGGAGTTGGCTTTCTAAAAGCAGACTAATTCCCTTCGGGCCAGATATAAATTCTACTCCTGGATATTAAATTACCAGTTTTACTTTCACGCTAGACATCTAGATGAAGCAAGTTTTGTGTATTACACATTCTGTGACCACTGTTGATGTCTACTGTGAATATATTCTGTATGATTAATTAGCTTGTTAACTCTGGGATATATTTGATCAGACACTGCTTTACTAGGGTATGTGCCCAACTCCAAACAGTTCAGTTCCATTGAGGTCTATATGTGTCTATCAGGACTAAGGCAAACAGAAATGGTAAAATGTAAATATAAGTAAATACACAGAACAAGTTACCTTGTAAGAAGAAACTGGGAATTCTGGATAGTCTGCTGACTGTTTTCTGTGTTAGATGTGTTGGTTGTTGTTGTAGATTGTGTCATAGTGGTGTTGAGATTGATCGTGTTGGTGCGCCTAGTTGCATTGCGTGCAGTCTCCAGTTGTTGTCTTGCTGCCTGTGCATGTTGTCGTTCCAACTGCAGTTGCATCTGCAGCTGCTGTAACTGAGAAGCAGAAGGGCCAGAGGAGTTGAGCTGTCCTCCTGCAGAACGCCTCACGCCCGATAGCTGAGATAAAAGCTCTGCCAGAGAAGATAAAGTTTCTGTGATGAAAGATCTTAAGTGAGCATTACACAATATAATGAATACATCCTGAATTCTAGTGCATTCAAGTCCTTTTTTCAATCAATAAAATCAAAGAACAAATAATGCTGAAGAGCCCATGAAGCTCTTGAAAAAAGTCCTAGCAATGTCTCAAAGGGTGAGGAAGATTAAGACTCATTTATGCAGATTTATCCAAATAAGAAGTCAAAGTTTAATGTCTTCAAAATAATGGGAGAGCCAAACTACAGGGATGCCTGGCAAATTATGTCCTCTGCAGCAATTCTGTGAAACTTAAAGTCAAAATAGCAACTGGCTAAAACTGCTTCATTTTGGCTTTGATTGGTGGTTTTTATTTTCCTCTCAACACAAGTTCCCTCAAAACACAGGCTTCACCATCCCAATATCACAGACGGAAGCTGTGCTGCAGCAAAGAGAAATATTGTGGTGTTGCTTCAAACATTTAATAAAAAATATTTAGTTAAGAAAACATATTAAAGTATTGCCTCACATCAAAACGTGAGGGGTCAAGCATTTTTGCTGTATTAATTTATTTCTGCCAGAAGTAAACAGAAGGACTAGCAATTAAAAAAACCTCTGTCCTTACGTCTTCCAATTCAGAGGGATAGAATGTTTACAGCAAGTTTCATCCACAAAGAATTTTTTGAAATAAATATAGCAACAAATTACTGCTCAGTGCATTACTGTGGAATCTGTTCTACACCTTGTGTAGAAGGTACTTCTTATATCACCTGCTTGCTGTAGTTGATGCAAGGGCAGAGGAAGTAGGGGACAATATTGCTTCTGACCCTCACCTCTACATTACAAAGTTACTATACATGTCATGACAATTTTCCTTCCATTGCATTAACAAAATATAATCCTTCTAAATAAGGCTTTCTTTCAGGCAATAAAGCAAAATGCAGTAGTTTTCCATGTCAAGAAATCAGGATGGTCAAGTTATTTTTACCAGCACTGACAGCAATACCAAGATTAAATACCTTTTAATTCCATTGTAATGACGAGAAATGCTGGGGCAGGGTGGGGGGAGAGTAAAATATGTAACAGATGCTATAAACTTCATTTATTTTAAACAGAAAAATTCTGGTGGTCTTTCCTATTTATCACTCCAGTAATGGGGAACACATATCAAACTTCCAGACAAGATTTACATGTATTTATTCTCACTATAAATTAAAGTGTAAGTTAGAGTATGGCAAAACAGTATTTTGGAAGCAGATGTGAGCTCAAGACAGAGCTTTGGTATAAGCTGCACAACAGTTCAGTGTGCATCTGAACTCTAAATGCAGACACACAGCTTGCACCAAAAAAGAAAAGATTCAGAAGAATGCCATTTTATCCCATATTTAATGCTGCCAAGTGGGAAGGCCTTGTGAAGCTGGAAACAAACCTCAGCAGCCACTCAACATTTAACTGAGCTGAACGAGCTGCCCTTGTAAGAGAAAGACAAGGTCTTCCTGCACTGGAGGCTTCACAAACATCCTCCCTCCTTGAACAAACTCTAGTCCTTTTCAGACCCTCCTGTGACCTCACTTAACTTATTTTCTTGTCTGGGTACTTCTTCCCAGCTAGTTTAATGGGTTAAATCAGGTCACAGCAGGCCAGGAGAGCACCAGAGCCAGTAGAAGGCAGGCAAGGGGATGATTAAGGCAGGCAAGGGGATGATTAAGGCAGGCAGTGGAGCCACCCCTCCCCTTTCAAGGGGCAATGCCTCATTACATTGGCTGACTACCTCCCTCTGAAGAAGTCACAACGTGATAGTATGAAGCTCCAGTTAAAGCATTATGTCTTCTTGGCATCTGAAGTAAAGGTGGATTATGGCAGAAGTTCTGAGGTTTCGCTGACACTTACGCTGGCATGGTCAAAGACCACCACATAAAAATGTTTAGATTTTTCCCCTTAGAGAAAGTTATATTTGTTTTCAGAATTGTCTTCATTCTCTATTTTTACTTTCCTGTTAAAGTTATTTTCACATCAAACTAAACATACGCCAAACAAGTTATTCCTGGGAAACCTAAGGACACATCTTCATTATTTTCTGGTGTTGAAAATGAGACACATTCCCCCCTTCAGTTTTTCTAAACTTGACCAAAATACACTGCAAATACTTGCAACAGTACATTTATAAAAGAATTTACAAGTACACCTTAAAAAAAAAAATCTGTGATATTAGCAAGTCCATTAATACTCAAATTCAGCTAATTTCATCTTCACTGAGATAGATACTCTCCTCCATAAACACCTTTATCCACATGGCAAATTAAAATGAGGTATACTGAAGTAGGTGATGGAAGTTGGACACAATCACTTGTAAAAATACACAACACCTGTGCATAGATTAGGTTTGGAAATAAGCCTTACACTGTTTAGAATTAAAAGCACAAGCTACAGGCAGTGGTTACAGCTTCAGCATCTCCATGCACAGGCCCTGTGAAAAACCAGCCAAGCACACCACTCACCTGCAAGCAGCCATCAAGCACACTTGCATGGTGGAGCATATACATGCAGCTTCGTAACAACACAAAGCAGGGGAACTACTACCATCTTGAATTCTACTTTCCCTGTGTAAAAGAAGGACACTGGGGTAAAATTCATGGTTACAGCTCTTACCAGCTATAGGATCCATGGCTTCTCTATTGCTTGGAGAATATGAACTCTGAGAAGATGAAAGCCCACCAGGGGAACTAGTAGTAAAGTGCATGTTTGATCTACGTGCACGGGGGCCTCCCAAACCCCGGCCTGGGTGGAACATCCTACGTACATGCCGAACACCACTGGATTCATCGTAACCAAGAAGTTAAGAAAATAGAACTGTTTGGCATTGAGTATTAAAATGACAAGGACATTTGATGGGTGAAATACTCAAGTGCACACTGTTCATTCATAAAATAACGATTCAGCTTCAGAAGCAAAGCTAAGGTACACTGTAGCTATGGTGCAAGTCAGTCTTACTGATCTGAACTCAAGATACCCAGTGCTGTATACACCAAACTCCATATATTTCTCCAGCTTATGATGATGAAGAAACATCAGCATTAATTTCTTAGGGTTTTTTTAGATCAAAGTTTTCTACTCAGTAATCTGAAAACTTTGACAAATACATGTTCATCCAAGCTTATTACAGAGACACAGGGATTTTATTCTCCCTCCCCAATTCTTATGCTAAGTATTGAAAAGAATAGAAAAGTTTATTGCCATTCCTATCTAAAGTACATAATAATTACTGTATTCCTTTTGACTTTTGTACTTCATGCTTTTATCCAAGAAATTTCATCACTTCAATACTTAAGAAATTGTAGGTTTCCAGAGTATTCAGCACTTTCATCACACCACTTTGTTTCGCCTTTCCTCTTTTAGGCAAAGAAATACCACCAATTCCAGTTATGACAACAACGCCTTTCATTTTCCCCCACTTCTCCATATCAGATGCTTATATTTCAAGTCACACCTTTTATATGTTTTCTCACATAAATTCAGGGACAATCAACAAATTATTTAAAGATTATTTTTGTCATAAAATTGTTAACATTGATTCCTATAAGACAGTCCAGATAAGGCTTCCTTTTATTTAAAAAAAACTCTAGTATAATTCACTAGTGCAAAATGAAATAGCATAGGCTTGAATATTTGATTTTACTGTTATTAGACTTTTAGCTTAGATCCTCCTATCTCCCATGATTTTTTTTTTTATAATAGTATGCTTACCACTTGTATGGTATCTTACTCTGTGTAAGAGTAGTGTCCAATGTACTTTTCATAAAAAACAATTATGGTGCAGAACCTCAGGATGTCATGGAGGTCAAGAATTTAAGACTGAAAGAAATTACTAGACTTCTCACGGCAAGAAAGAACTTCTGGCTATTACAAAAAGATTTTACAGAATGTTTGCCTCTTTCAAACCTATTAACTAATAGGTTAACTGTAGCATAACTATGCTACAGTGTAAAACACTTAACATCTAGGGTGTAAGAGGAAAATCCCCCCTAGCACAGAACACACTTTGCCTAGCACAGAGTGCCTTGCACCTCTGAGTGTGCTAAAACTGAAAGCTGCTGGAGACAAGATACTGTATTAGATGGATGACTGCCCCCATGCAGTTTGACAAGCTTTTCATAACTAGACCTGATAGAAAAGGCCAGTATCTGGGGATTTTCCAAGCAGACACAGGACTATGGGGTAACTTTCCTAACTGCAGTTTTTAACATGTTTCGAGATAAACATCATTTTTTAAATACTAGCTAAGCATGCACCCAAGTCTTACCTGCTATGCTAGAGTAAGAAAAACCTTTGTAAACCTTAACTTGTGACAAACAGGTAAACCGAATAGCCATGCACGAACTATTTCTATAATTGATGCTGAAAAGCTATATTTCATAATTTCCCAAGTATTCTCCTGCTAAAGTAAGAAACTGGGCTTTAAAGAGTTGTCCCCCAACTGCAGGAATAAAGGACATATCTTGCAATGGCTGCACATGGTTCATAAGAAGAAACACATGCAGCCTTCTGGGACAACTTAAGAAAAAAACCCCACCAAACCCAAAATAAATCACACATGTCTAATCAATACTTGGAAGATGACACCACTCCTCAGAACTCTAGCAGCCCCAACAATAAAAACTTACATCAAACTGTAAGAGAAATCTTCACTCTATAAGAAGTGCAAGCAAAGAGCCTTCTATCTCCTTTTTGTACATGAAGGTTGTTACAGAGCATGGAGAGTTGTTCTGTACAGCTTTAACTTCCTATGAAGATGTTTAGAACAGCAATATAACAGTATCAGAGAGCAGCTTTCTAACAGGTCCCTGACTTTGACAGTTATTCTCTCCTATGCTGTCAGACCCTGCATGAAAAAGGGCATCTCCTCTCCCTTTTTTCCTACTTTAGACCTGCCTGTTGCTAGACATGATGTACAGCCAAACATAGAATAGCCACTTCAGGATACACTTATCAGGTTTTGTAGACTTGACAACACTGATCACTGAAGCAATAGTGTACAAACAGAAAATTCTACATGCATTGTCTTTAATGCCGAGTCATGGACAACGTATTCCCGAAATATATCCAAGAAAGATCCATTTTGGGATGGCTGACATTGAAGCCTTACTCCACATTTGAAAAGATTGATTTTTCTAGCTCAGACATTCCCAAATCAAAAGTCATCTTGTGCTATCTCTGATACTGGAGGGGGAGAAAAAGCTGCAGAAACATGAACTCTAATCAGACATCTTGTTCATTTCAGTAGGAAATTAATTTCACTCTAACTGGGAAAATTTAAACTTCCTGGCCTACAGAGCAGTTAAACCAATGTTGGAGGCACACAGTTAGACCTTTGGTACATTGCTATGTAGTTACTAGGGATGTATATTTTGTTAGAAAAAGCGTATTAGGCAGGGGCTATGAAAGACTTCGTAATTGGTGGAAAGAGCAGAACTAAACTGCTATGAGAAAAATTGCTCAGTGACTCACTACACCAGTCATCAAGCAACGTCTCGGAGACATCCAAAGGCCAGGAAAGATTCAGTGGTCTGGAAGATGCTCTCCCCTCATCAATCCCAACCCACCTCCACCCAAAAGAGAGGACAGCACAACTCTGCCTTGGGGGACACCTGACTGTGGAAGACCTCCCTGGACATCTGGGACCAAGCTCACATGGCCAGAGCCACCACACTCAGCACCCTGCTCCTCCCAACTGCCGAGAGCTCCATTCCTGTCTACACAGAAAGGTGAAGTAGAGATAACTGCTTTTATCTAACTTTGTAGTGTTCTTTGCATCATTAGTTACACCTTCACAGAACCAATAAACACCCAAAGTCCTTTACACTGACCCAATTATTGTGTAGTATTTAACATGTGCATTTAGTCTGTCCTGACCCTAAATCATGGTAACACTAACAAACTTAAACGCAACCAGACACAATCATAACTGAAAAGGAGCCACCTTCTTAAATGCTGTCTCCCTTCTGTTAGCATAACAAGCTCCAGTTGCTTGGGCTTGGACTTTTTTTTTTACTCCAGTTGCTAGGACTTAAGACTTTTTTTTCCCCCTTTTTAAAAATCTTTAAACAAAAAAGCCACTATCAAGGTAATAATGCAGTCCTTTTGTCTGTTTAAATGAGACAAAGGAATACTTCAGAGAGATTACTTACTCTAGGTAGGTTGCATAGCCTGCATGTTATTAAATAAAAAGCCCAAACAAAAAACCATTTCATTAGTTAATCCAGGGTGTGTGTGTGTGTTAAAAAAGAAAAATATTCCTAGAACAAGGATTAAAAAACTCCAATAGTTCCAGCTCTTCAGACATCAAGCACAGATACATCTGCGTAACCTGCTGCTAATTACAAAATGTCAGTAAACCTATGAAAGTATGTTATTAAAATATGGCGTTAAAAGTAGTTAGGCAAGTTTAAAATCATTCGTCAAGACCAGCTCAGCTCAAATCACCCTCGGATCATCATCTTCATGTCACAAATACTTACAGCAGACTACTGAATCTGGATACATCAAGACTAATGATCAGGCAGGATAAACCATAGTGGAAGCAGAAAAACATCTCAGTGTCAAAGTTTCTTTAAATGTTTCTGCTGTTAGAGCAAAAAGCACTGTCAAGTATACCTACAGTCTGTTCACAATCTGGTATTTATAGTTTTTTAAACTAGCAAATGAACCGTTTTGGTTTTTACTATAAAAATCAAAACAAGTCATCATGGCTACAAGATGAAACAGTCTAGCCTCTTTGCCTCAACTTGGAAAGGATATTAAATCTCTAGGAGCTCTGTGTTCCAGTGTAAGATGAGCTGCAAAGTCATCTGTGACATGATTCGGATCCCCTCCAGGTAATGCTGCACATATTGGACAAATCTGAAATGACAAAGTGAGAAAAAACCCAACTTTATACATTTTACACAAAACAGAACTTGTATCAAGTCAATCATTAGACATTGATTCTTCTGTTTTAAAATCACATTCTAGGTGTGCACATTCACAAACACCTGGACAGCAACATATTAAAAAAACCCAGAAAACTTATTCAAGTGCACACATCAATTTAGATATCTTTAACTTTATGATTTTCAGAATGCTATGAAAACCTGAGCTTAAATTTTCAAATTAAATTTGCATGTCTTGAAAATTAGTCTTTGTACTCCAATTCTGCCACAGACAATAGAGTCTGATTACACAGGATTACTATTTGCCTGCTTGACACTCATCCCAGCAGAGGAACCAGAACCACATATAAATGTTTGCTGAAGTATCAAACTGAGACCATCAGTGTGTAACTACAGGTTTGGCAGAGAAGGACTGATCTACATATACCTACAAAACAGTATTTTGGGAGAAGGCCCTGACTTCTGTCTTTGGCTTGCATGTTTTTTTTAAAACCAAAACGCATGTTAACTAAGTAGACAAACAGTGCCATTACAATTGCCATAATTATGACTTGTTTTTTGAATGACTCCACAAATAGCTTGAAAAGTATCTTCCATTTTTCTTTACAGTCGTTTTGTAGACTGATTTTAAAGTTTTACAGATGAAAAACAAACAAAAAAATCCATTCCACAAAATTCTTCCCCCAAATGTTAAGTGCTCAAATTAACAGCACTTTGACAGTTAAATGCAGCTGCTGTCTATTAATTTCTCTATCTGTTACTCACAGTCAAATAGTCTTGACTTTATGGAGCAACTCTGGCTGGAACATAAAGCCCAGATTCCCAGTGCTCTTCATGCATATACTCAAGCTGTTGACAGGAGATCTCAAAAGACCGTGGACACTAAGAACACCTATGTAATAGCACACACATCTGTCTTACTCTTATGGAGGTGAGGACAAGGTCTTGAAATAGTGTACTGTAAAATCTCAGCTGCTTTTGACAGCAGCTGCTACATCTTTAATACCACTTTAATTTTAGTAGTCAGCTCTGAGCAGAAAGCAAGGCATTTTAAGTTTTTTGCTACAACCCCTTCCCTTTTATTTCCAATGTTAAGCATTTCTCTTCACAGAGCTCCTCTTCCCAGATTTTTCACCACTACAGAAGCCATACAAGTGGACACACTACAGAGCAAAGACATCATATTACAGCGTAATACAATCTCAATAGTATTCTCAACTATACCAACATATCATACAGCTACCCTATGTAGGGACATAGGGACGGATGTATATTGGACGGATGGTTCTGAAGTCCATAAACTTGTAAGATGCTTAATCTTCAAGAACGTGTTTCAGACCAACAGGAGACAACACCTTCAAAGCATTCTTTTTTCATTTAAGCTACTCTGAGGAAGCAGAATCCCAGCTTAAGAACAACACGCTTCTGAAATCAGCAACGGAAAAGAAAGTTCTCCTGCTAACAGGACAAAGGCATTATGAACTGCACATATTTGCCTGAAAAGGAGACACAGTCCTTGGAAAAACATCAGCTAAGAAAGAGTTATAAGGAAAAATGAGGAGGAGGGAATCTAAGTATGCTAACCCTAACTCTAAACATGAACTAAACTTCCAAGAACCTCTGACTGCGAAAAGTTACTGAAGCACTGTTATACGCAAAAATTTAATTAAGCATAAGCTCTGGCAAAATCACAACAAAGACTGCAGTATCACTGATTAAGCGTGACACAGCTAAAAGTCATTGTTAATAGAACATGCAAGAACAAATGGTACAGATGGAAGGAAAACATTGTCAGAAGTTTCTCTTGAAGTTATGACCATTTGTATTAAAAAATCATGTTACCCTGAATGATGTCTGAAAGATGACTGCAAAGTCTTAAATCATGCTCACAGAATACCTGCCAGTTTCCAGAAGTGTGCTTGTATTACCACTACCTCCCTATTTACATACAAGGTAACCACTTTAAGTGACAGTATTTCTGTAATCTCAACAAGACACACTGCAATCTTCAAGAAGAAAACAGGAACAATTCAGACTCAGATGGTCCATTTCATTACTGCAAGAAAAGCTCTCCTCAATTTATTTAGCAACATATCAACAACCTAGTCCTTGCAGTCCATGAACAAGGAGCCTAGTTACTGCCTTGCTAAACATGAGAAAGTTGCTGCAGTGCAATGGAATAGTAGAAAATTTCTGTCTCCGTTCTGAAACGAGAATTGAAGATGACATTTGATGTGACATTTCCTAAAATTTTTATATTTACAATGCTAGCAGACTTGTAGTTGAATGCTGCATTTTATTTGGAACAGTTGACTGACCTGAAACCCAACAACAACAACAACAATCATCATACTGACAGCCAGATTCTTCTGCACTTGCCTTATAGCACTTACCATCACCCTTGAACATTTACTGGTGAAGAAATACTGGTAATGACTGAGGTTTTAGTACTCAAAATCATATGATTTATTCTTTTTAGCATGTAACCTTAGAGACTTAATCACAAAACTTATGACTAGTCCTGTAGACCCCCATAAAATTTTCAGTTAAAGTACCCAGAATTAAAACAATCACCTTCAAGGAAGTATCATGAAACTCTCCTCCTGGAGCTCCTCTCCAGGACCTCAACATGGTGAGCTAAAGCCCAAATGGAATTGAACCCGGCGAGCAATGTCAAAGGCAACAAGAAGGGCTTCTAGATGTACGCAGGCAACAAAAAGATGACTCGGGAAATGCAGGCCCACTGCTCAGAAGATGGGAGACCTGGTTACACAGGACACAGAAGAGGTTGAAGTACTGAATGCCTTCTTTGCCTCAGTCTCTACTAGCAAGAACAGCCTTTAGGAATTCCAGGCCCCAGCATCCAAAGAAAAAGTCTGGAGCAAGGAAGACATTCCCCTGGTAAAAGAAGATTAGGTTGGAGAATACTTATGTGAACTGGACATACTTAAGTCCATGGGTTGTGATGGGATGTACCCACAAGTGCTAAGGGAGATGACAGATGTCATTGCGAGGCTGCATTCAATAATCTTGGATCAATCATGGTGTCTGGGAGAGGTGCCTGAGGACTGCAGTAAAGCAAATGTCACTCCTATCTTAAAGAAGGGTAAGAAGGAGAACCTGGGGAACTACAGGCTGGTCAGCTCACCTCGATCCCTGGGAAGGTGATGGAGCAGCTAACCCTGCACACCATTTGCAGGCACATTTAAAGACAAGAAAATCATCAAGTGTAGTCAGCATGGCTTTATGGAGGTGAAGTCATGCTTGACCAACTTGATAAACTTATATGATGAAATGACTGGCCTGGTAGATGACTGGAGAGCAGTGGATATAGTCTACTTGGATTTCAGTAAGGCCTCCGACACTGTCTGCCACAGGATCCTCATAGACAAGCTGCTGATGCACAGGCTGAATAAGCAGACAGTGAGGTGGAGTGAAAACTGGCTTAATGGCTGGGCTCAGGTGGTGGTGATCATTGGGAATTTTGCTGACACAAAACTGGGAGGAATAGGTGATATGCCAGCGAGCTGTGCTGCCATTCAGAGGGACCTAAACAGGCTGGAGAAAAGGGCCAACAGGAACCTCATGAAGTTCAATAAGGAAAGTACAAAGTCCTGCACTTGGGGAGGAACAGCACACACTGGAGGCCACCCAGCTGGAAAGCAGCTTTGCAGAAAAGGACCTGGGGGCCCTGGTGGACCATGAGCCAGCAATGTGTCCTGTGGCAAAGCAAGCTAACGGTGTCCTGGGTTGCATTAGGAAGAATGCTGCCAGCAGGTCAAGGGTGGTGATCCTTTGCCTCTGTTCAGCACTGGTGAGGCTACACCTGGAATGCTCTGCCCAGTTCTGGGCTCCACATACAAGAGACACGCACATGCTGGAGAGAGTCCACAGGCTACAAACATGATTATGGGACTGGAGTATCTCTCCTATGAGGGAAGGCTGAGAAAGCTGGGGCTATTCAGCCTGGAGAAGAGCAGGGTCAGTGGGGTGGATCTTATGAATGCATATAAAATACCTGAAGGGAAGGTGAAAGGAGGACAGAGCCCAGGTCTTTCCAGTGGTGCCCAGTGACAGGACCAGAGGAAGTGGGCACAAATTCAAACACAGGAGGTTCCTCACAAACATCAGGAAACATTTTTTCACTGTGAGGGTGACTGAGCACTAGCACAGGTTGTCCAGAGAGGCTGTGGTCTCCATCCTTAGAGAGATTAAAAAGCTGTCTGGACATGGTCCTGGGCAACCAGCTGTAGGTGGCCGTGCTTGAGCAGGGGGTTGGACAAGATTACCTCCAGAGGTCCGCTCCAACCTCAGTCTGTCTGTGATTCCTGCCCACAAGTACCTAACACTGCTGTACATACCAATGCCAAATACCTGAGAAAAATCAGCTGAAAGTAAACTTCCTATCTGCACCACTCTGAATACAGAAATGGCAAAATTTAATGGACCAAAAATTCTTTAACTTATTCTTTGAAAAACAAGGGTGGAGGGAGTGGGGGTTGAGGGCTGTAAAATAAAAGTGATTCCATCCCTGTAAACTTCCCTTAAAGATCTAAAAATAAATATCCAAAATAAAACACATTTTTGGATGGACAGAGATGATACTACAAGGACTACAAGCTCAGTATCTAAACAGAAATAATTGCTTTAAAGCCTAAGACCACAAACATTTAGAATCCATAACATTTTCCTCTTTAGTAATGTTGTATTCTTTCACTATCTACAGTAAGACTGCAATACCCAAGTAGTTTTATGTGCATGCACACTAAACATTTATCACAAAAGCTAGATTAAAAACTTAGCACAAACATATACAATCATATTCAAGGATTAAAATATTGTCCTTTATCATTGTTTGGAACAAAGATATAACAATGTTGCAGACTGACTCACAAAACAAAGAATTTTTTTTTTTTTTTTTCAGGCTTTAGATACTGAGATCTAGAAGTCACAGCTGCAAATAAGGATGACTCAAACCTAAAAACCTGGGATCTTAACACTCTGTGTCAGGAACATATCACTGACATCAAGTGGTGCAACTCAGAATTGCAACACTAAGCCACCGATCCAAACGTGGAACTTACAATGGTTGACACTGTTTCAAAGTTAAAGAAAAAACTCAAGGAGATGATAAAAATTGCAGTGTGTCAGTATATTTAATTATGATCCTACAGTGCAACTGATGGTGAAGTAAACTGTTTCACTTCTTATGGAAAGATCAGAATGACTTTGAGTCTCAAAAAGGTGCACAAACCACCTCCCCTATCACTCCTTCACACACAATCCTTAACAGGCTTAGAGAGGAAAGGTCCATTTTCTTCCACAGAATTCCTTGGAAGTTAAGAAAACTAGAAGATTAGAATAGACAACCTATTTGTAAGTAATTTCTTCACAATGTATTAGTGACAAGTAATCCACTTCAAGCACTCACATTTTTCTAGGAATCTATGGTACAACAGTTAACCAGACAAGAGCACCCTGGATGTTGTTCTGCTAACCTAGTTTCTCCTACTCCCAAAGACAATCAGGATAGCAGGAGCTAACAACTCATATTAAAGTATTTATGTTGACATTTGTTTAAGAAGTACATTTTTAACCATGTCAAGTGTCCTAATGGTTAGGGATGGAGGAAAAACCCCTGCTTTAAGGGTTTCAAAAGAATGACAACTTCCACTGCATAAATACATCACGTCCATTACAAAAGCTATTTGAAAAACATGTCAAACTGTCTGCATGTTTTACTCTCTCTTACAGTTACAAAAGACTGCACAGCTATGAGCTTCCAGGACAATTACATACTGGTTGTGAAAAGGAAGACACAGCTACACAGAATAACGATGAGAACATTCTAAATTCTGTCTTGCAGGATAATAAACTCCTAAACATAGCAGCATTTACATCAGGACAACAGAACAGCAACCATAAAAGAAAAAGCAAGCTCATTATATTACGATACCCATGAAACATAGAATAATTTTGATGTCACTGTCAAATGCAGGTATGTCTTCTTAAAAAGCAGTTAAATGAACTCATACTTTAAGAACGAGAAACAAGAGGATACCAGTTTTCCAGAAGAGAGATTCTTTTTAATATATTTCCACCACAACTGAAAGCCAATTCTGAAACTTCTTACCACTTCTGTTGATGTTTCTGCATGCTCAGAAGTAACATGTTCTTGAAGAGATGTTTCTGTGTAACCCATTTTCCCACAATAAGGACAAGTAAAAGATTGTGGCTGCTCTACAGAGAAAGCTTCTCCACCATAGTACAAATCTGAAACAGAAAGTGTTTAAAGAGAGGTTAATTCAAAGCAATAGCATAATTTATTTTGTTCATGTAAACCTCTGTTTATAAATGTAGTTCAATGTAATCACTGCCAAATTAATCTGGTATTTAATTGAAATGGCTATTTTAATCTTGTATAAAGGCCACAGGCTGATACTCAAGAAGCGTTCAATTACTGATGACAAAAACCAGACACACTACCTTTCATTTTCATTAGCAAACATAACACAGTTTTCTAATATACAGTAGCAGCAAAGACTCCTATGATAATGATGCCGATACTGTCAAACCTTCACTTTTCCACTACCCTTCTTATCCCATGTACAGTGTCACCGATGGTATTTTTCAATCATAACATGAGTTTTCAAAAGCAGAACTCTCAACAGTACCTCAAAAATTTAGATTAAAATTTAGAAGTCCTCAGTGATACTATGTCAATATTTATGCCATAGCTGAACCACTGCTTTGCAGTAAGTAGTTTTAGAAGTGTCTTAAATATATAATAAAAAATTGACAGTGAAAAAGGAACCTGATTAGGTTACACACCGGTTGCAACTTTGTGTTGAATTTAAGCACTTTGGCACTACTGGTGAAAAGCAGACACTTTTAAGTTGCTAACATAGAAGTTGCCCAAATTAACATGAAAACTTATGAAACCATGCAAGAAAAGAATGCTTTTCTCGTCTTCTGCAGGTATTATGTATTCTACAGGACACATGAATAAATTTCACATTCACATCAAGATAAAAAGTATGATTTTCTCCAGCAAGTAATTTAAAATCTTTTCAGTGGCATGTTTTCTAGGACTCACTGATAAGTAACTGAAAAATATTTTCATAGAATTATGAATATTCTGCTATAAATTAAAGATTGGACAAGTCTGAACAGATACTAGAACTCATGTTCTGCACCACAAGGCAGAATCTATCTAATGTGTTAGGAATATGTCCTTTGGATGGCTTAAGTTGCAGCTTCCTAAGGTTTATGACATCTTCTGCTACTGACCTCTCTTTAGGACATGACTAGGAAGAACAGAACTGTACTTTTGTTTCTGCGGCCTTAGAAAAGATAACGCTTAAGCTAAAAATGTACATATCTATAATTCACTATATTATTCACTATAATTCACAGATAGTTATTTTACATGTAAACTAGGTTTTGGGGGCTAACATTCCAAGACCAGTACAGGAAATGAACTTCTTAGTAACATGCTAATATTCAGAGTTAAAGATACACAATCAGATTGAATACACTGCAGAAGAAAGTTTATGTTCACCCTGTTGCCCTTATTTGGAAACTGCTTCCAGAGAATTTAAATGCTGGAGGATGAGAGAAAGATAGCCCTTTAACAGGTATAGTAAGAAATTCCCAATTAGACAGATAGCCTTGTCAAAGAAGAAACACTACCCGACACACCGAGCATTTTAACTGGTTCATCAAATTAACTATGACACTACACTTGAGTACCATACTGAATCTAGGTTCATTTACTCACATACACGTGAGGAAAAACATTATGTCCAACTACTCAAAGTAAAACGTTCCCAGCCAATTAAGTCTTATGTAAGTCTCCAAAGCAGCATTTGAGGTGCCATTAAATGTTTTATACAGTAGTAAGGCACAGAAGTAACTTTTCATTAAAGAATGGAATTGCACATCAGATATGACTGAAATGGAGAACCATACAGACTGAAAGTCCGCATAAATGCAAGTCAGAAGACATGCCTGAAAGACTAGCAACCCCTGCCCCCCAACCTGAAAGCTGTTTATATACTACTGACACAAACAGATGCCTGGAATCATTGCTAGAGGGAAATCCCAAAGGTCCTTGCACAACATGTATCAGGACTCAGTTCTGAACGTATTCGAGTCACCCAATACACAAACGATGGGCATTTCCTGACAGGTTGTCAGGCATCCAGCTGGCATCCTAACAACAAGACATGTGGTATGTCTTAATCTGTCCTTACCTGATGCCCTATAAAACCACAGGAAGAACCAGTGAAGCTATGAAGAGGAAGGTCTACCTCCCCACATTTCTAAGAGAGGTTGCTGGCCAACACTTAAATACACCATATTCAACTGAAGACAACAATACTACCAGATTGGAAGAAAGCATCTTACAAACTCTTAAAACTGCTTGTTTGGTTTATAAGCTAAGTATCACTCAGCTTTAGAGCATGTTCTGAATGCTCAAAAACAGGAACAGGAGCAAATTCCCCCACATCAAAGCTTTTAAAACTATCTGTAGTTCTCATCCATTACTTACAGTAAGCTTGTGTTTATTCTATGTGAGTAGATTGGTACTACAATTACTCTGGCAGGTGACCAAAAAAACTGGGTCTGAGGCAGGATTACTCCATTAGCATTCAGAACTGTGACAGCCCCTATGTACAGGTGTTGAGCACAGGATGAACCAATTAGATTTACTTACATGTACAACTATCTTTTGACCTGAATAGTTCTCTAAAATTACAGAACGTATTTTCTAGGTAGTGACCAGTCCTGTTTCCAAGTCTTCCATTCTCCTCTTATTTGCATGATACGCAATAAAGACTTACATGAAAATTAACCTGCTCCAAGTTTGAGGTGTTATGGAGACTGTTTCAGATACAACACACAGATCTACAGAATTCACAGAACTTCGAGATTTTGGAGCTCCTAACCAGTGCCACTTCAGTACATACTTCACTGCGTGCTCCTCTGAAAGTTTCTCCAAGAATCACATTCAGGCTCCCATTCTGATGCAGCCAAAAACCTGACTGCAGGTAAAAAAATTACCAATATGCTGCAGCACACTCAAATATGAAAAATTTACATGTGTCATGGTTTCAAATGAGGAAAGCACGAACAAGGTTTACATGGGACAAAGTTCTAAGCAGTCAATAGAACAGTCTCTGAATGGAGCAGCCATACAGACTCTGGAACAGATACTCTTTCAGAAAAATATATCTGTAAGGCAAAGAATTCAAAATGATGGCTGTCTAGAACAGATAAAAGCAAAATGCTTCAATGAAGACGGATGAAAGAATCCTCCTTGCAATTAAATGAAGAAAATCTCTAAAGCAGCTCATTACACAAGTTTTGCAGTATACGGCAAAAAGGAAATGCTTTTAAAGCTTCTTTCTTCTACAGTGTCACTGCACAGAAGAAATGCAAACTTCCATTCTCACTTTTTCAGTGTCCTAAAGATATAACAGAGTTCGAAGTTAAATAAAGATTCTGGGAACAAAGTAAGAAAGATGGCCAAACTTTTGAACTGAAGAGTTAAGAAGCATTCCAAACTTAACTGCATTTAATCTGCCCAAGACAGCACATGCAAATCCTGTATTGTTCTCTGAAGCTCAATAATTGAACAAGAACTTCTACAAAAAAGGTCTGCATACCTGTAGGAATAGCAAAAATGCCAGTCACAAACACATCAAAAGCTAATGACAGTTTGTTTAGTTGATCCTCTGATTTTCCTCAAGCTTGGTATGATCCTCATGATGATGATTAAATACCTATTTACTGATTGGAAAACTGAAATTCTCCATCACTGCAAACATACACACACACATGGAATAACACCAAGTCAAATTCTCCTTTAAGGACTCTTCCTAGCTGACCAGACTAATTTCTGGGAATTTTCCAAGTCCTGGAGTCTTATATACTGATCTGGATAAAACAAAATGATGATGATGACTCAAAGGGGCAAGCAAACGGAAAAAAGGGCAAATCATCTTATTCTTTAGAGGATCTGCATATAAAAAGTAACTGCTGCATCTACTACCTAAACAAAAAAAAAAATCCCTCAAGATTACCAGATGGTCTAAAAAACTCTACCTATAAACCTTACTACTTCATGAATGTAAGTGTTTTCAAGTAAGGCAGAAGTACCAACTCCAACTTCCCTGCTGAGCAAAGGGCACAGGACAACAACCAATTTGAAGAGAGTAGTAAATAAATTACCATGCAGGTAAAAATATCTTTTCCTTAGTTATGTTATTAGCTTAGTCTAGATGTCAGGAATTCCAGCAGTACACACTGTTCTATCAGAGGGGAGAGGCTTGATGAGTACTGTCAAATTCTGTGTTTCTGGTCCTTGCTTTTAGAGAATATAAAACAAGCCATTTATTAATTAGAAAAATAAAAATCTGAGTTCTTTCCAGCCTCCTGATTATACTCCTGCATATACCTCCTTCCATATCTTTCTCATAACGCACAGCAAACATACATGCACATGCTGAATAAATATGCCTTCATCTGGAAAAAAAATTTTAAAATGTGCCTGTCAGAAGTGAAATCCAAATATTTTTCCCTTGAAAGTTTATACCTCCCTTTTTTTTTTCCTCCTCAACTCTAATCTCACTCTACCACTAACAATCAAAATCTGTTCCTTTTCTAATCTGAAATACAGGTCACCAGGTAAGTTTCCTTCTAAAATATAACACAAATTAAAAAAAAACAAAACAAACACAACCCCCCCCCCCCCCCGGTAATTAGGTGATATCATGAATCTGTGTGCCCAGTTTTAGCGTTGAAGTTACTGAATCGATATTTCTTGACCTGTTTTGTTTTTACAAGTACACCAAAATCCTAAAAATCAAGAACAGTCATTGTTATTGGTTATCAAAGGCTCATTTGCTAAGGAAGACCCTAACAATTAGAGGCAACATGGGAAAAAATGAAAAGGCCACGCCCCCATGGCTGCAGAAGTGAGGCAACCTACAATTGTATTACTGTTTTCATTTACAGTTGTATTACTGTTATGATGGAACTGGCCCATGACCAAAGAATTATCCCTTCTGGCCACAAAGAAATCTTTCATCAGATAGTGTATTTTGGTTCTTTGCAAATACCTTCCTACACAAAAGCGGCAAACTCCTCTGGAGCTCTAAAGCCCTCTTTTCAAAGTAGCTAGAAAGACACAGTTGCTTAGTAAAAAAGAAAACTGGACTAAATCACATCCCTCTAGAAGAAGACCCATTACCCACACTGCTTATCAA